CATGTGTCAACCTGAAGTTCCTGCACACCGAAGGTGAAACTTCTAATTGAAGCTGACAAGAATCTAGAACCGGATACACTACGAAGCGATCTGGACAAAACAATGGCGAACCTAAACCACATGATGAACGACTTCTACAAGTTTGTAGCAGGACCAAGAGCCGTGAATCAAGCTGAACAGAAACCATGGGACGTGGCTCAACAACCGAAAGCCAAGCCATTAAAAGAAATTATAATGGAAGCATCTGAAGAGCAAAAAGGAAAAGAAGAAGACGAAATCAGAAGAAAAAAAAACTTGATAATTTACAAAGCATCTGAGAGTACCCACCAAGATGGACATCACAGAAAGGTAGAAGACAAACAACTGATAGAAACATTTCTAGCATTGGTCGAAATGGGAAATAAAACAGCCACAAGTTTTTTCCGACTTGGGAAGAAGAACGATAAACAGACCACTGCTAGTATCCTTTGATAACGAAAAAGATGTAAGCGAGATAATGAAAACCTTGAATAAATTAAAAGATGCCGAATATAAAATCAAAAACCTGTGGATTGGCCCAGACAGGAGTCTCAAGGAACGAGAAGAAGTCAGAAGATTGATAGCAAAGGCAAAAAACTTAAACGAAAAGGAACAAGGAGACAACGTGCACCTTGTGAGGGGGTTGCAAATAATGAGAATGAAGAAAAAACCTCAAACCGGTCTTTAAAAATCTGGTACACAAGCATAGACATATTAACTCAAGACAAACTGCACGAAATCACGTGGAGAACGAATCAAGAAAAATGCAAGCCTGATGTCATCGCTCTAGTTGAAGGCAAACCGAAAAATTCTCGCGCAGAATACAATCCAACATGGCATAAAATCCAATACTTTAACCTAGAATCAAAAAGTATGAATCCATCTGATCAAGGACGCGGATTTTTTGTTTATATTAATGAAAACATTGACTACTCCTTGAGCACAATTAATTCTTCTTTCTGTGAAAACTTGTTTTTAAAAATAAAATTGGCAGGAACATCATCATCAATTTTGGTGTATTGTATAGAAGTCCAAACTCAACTAAAGAAAATAACCACCAACTAAAAAATTTGATCGCCAATTTGAACGAAACACAGTCAAATGACTCAACACTAATAGTGGGAGGCACAAATCTACCACAGATAGATTGGGAGGCCATGAGTACATTAAAAGATGAAAATAGCACTGAGTTCATCTTTACAGAGGCAATAAAAGACGCACTACTAACACAACACATCAAAGAGCCTACAAGGCCAACTGGCAGAGATAAGGCATCACTGCTTGATGTTATGATGTCAGATATAGTCTTAAAAGATCTAGACATCACGTTAGAGGCGCCAATCGGAAAAAGTGACCACGTCCTTGTCAAGATAGATGTGCCAGTAAACAGGGTTAAATCGAAATGTAAAAACCGCAGAAACTATGAAAAGGGAGACTACCACGGGATGACAAACCATCTAGCTGACCCAAACGTTCAGTTAAATACATGGGAAAACTGAAAAACTGCAAGAAAGAGTTAGTCGAAAAATTCGTGACTTTAATCAAGATACGCAGCAGTGGCAAGGAAATATCATCAGAAGTTAAAACTCATCCGAAAAAGTTCTGGAGTTACGTGCGCCAAAAAACTACCATAAGACAAGCAATCCCCGCTTTAATAAAACCAAATGGTATGCTAACTGACACAGACGACGAAAAGGCGGAAGTGCTCTCAAACTTCTTTGCATCGGTTTTCACTGACGAACCCCCGGGTAACTGATGAAATTTGCAATGACATTTACAGAGTGAAAATTTGACTCTTGCTAAGAAATAACTTGAGATGCACATTTGGATACTCATTGAGTACTTTGAAGCTCATCATCTGCAGATAAAATAATCAGTGACTGAATCAATGGTTTTCAACAATTCATTGGATACATATTCAAATGCAAAAAAAATAGGTAATGGCCCCAGAGACATCATGTGAAGTGTCTAGGTCTGTTTATCCAAAAAAAATTTCCTTTTCAAAATCACTAACGCCATCAGATCTTGCTCAGTAATTCGAAACGAGCTGCCCATTTTAACAATTGAAATTATTTTAAAATCACTTGTTTTTAACCAGTCTGAGTAATCAAGTATATTTTTCTTAATATCAATTGAAACTAGTGTGTAACGCACCACCGGCGCTTCGAACTTTTGACAACTCTTTTGAGGGTAAGGGATTTCAAATTTTGAAGAAAAAAAATCGGTAAGTTTCTGAAAAATTACACAAAAAACGTCATATCTCAAAAACTACGAAGATTTGAGCAATTACATTTGGAGGCAAGATTGGCAATTCATGAGAGTAGCCTGACAGCACCCTACTAAAGGGTAAGGCATTTCAAATTCTGAAAACCAAAATTACATCAAGTTTTTTGAGAACTTAAGTTTTAATTTAGAAACAAAAAGATAATAGAAAAAAGATCTAAAAGAAGGATTGAAAAAGAAATCGAAAAAGGATTGAGGAAATTTAAGAAAAAGGACAATCGAAAAAAAACAGAAAAAAAAGATCAAAAAGAAGGATAGAAAAAGATTTAAAAAAAAGGATCGAAAAAAGACCGAATAAAAACATCGAATAGATTGAATAAAAAGATAGAAAAAAGATCGAAAAAGAAGGATTGAAAAAAAAGTTAGAAAAAAATCGAAAAAGAAAGATTCAAAAGATTGAAAAAAAGATCAAAAAAGAAGAATAAAAAAAGATAGGAAAAAAAGGATCGAAAAAGAAGGATTGAAAAAAGATAGAGATAAATTTTAAAAAGAAAGATAGAAAAAAAGATCGAATAAGAAGGATCAAAAAAAAAATAGAAAAAAAACATAGAAAAAAAAGATTGATAAAGAAGGATCAGAAAAAAAAGACAGATAAAGAGAAGGAATTGGAGACAACCGTTTGACAGTAGTACTGTTCTGAACTAAATCGTCGAAACCAAATCGAAAGTTAAAAAATTAGGAGATGGGTAGACAGACAATCAAATTAAATGAAAAACCAGATATACAGACAGACAGACTTAAATTGGCCTCAAAAAAAATTCTGAAAAATTATTGACCTAGCGGAAAACTAATTGAAAAATTTTCTTAAGCATTGCAATGTATGATATAGCTTAAACATGAAAAAACTCCTTCGTTAAATATGCAAAATTATTATGCTTAAACATGGGAGATAGTTGTCACTCGCATTTAAATATAGTATAGATTATAGATATACAATTGAACATTAGACTTAGATTCAGCAAGGAGAAATCCAATATTTCGATTCACTTTAGAATAAAGCATGAATAATTGCCGACAATTTAAAATTTGAAAACTACCCATAGGCGATATCATTCTTTTTTTACAAAAAATTTTACAAAAGGTTACCGCGACAAATTAGTCACAGAGTAGAAACTGAGCTGCGCAAAATCACGCAAGAAAACGACACAAAATAGCTCTAAACAAGGCCAACAGACACTTGCAAAAGAGTTAATGAACGCAAAAAAGAAACAAAAAAGACATTTTTTTTTGAAAAACCTTAATTCGAATTTCAAACAGTAAAAGATATCGAATTTCAAGAGCAACTTATAATTGGAATTTTTTAAACTAAAATTAACCTATATTGAGAAAACTGGATTATAGGGAAAAGTTTTTGTTCCGCTGGAAAATCTGAAAATTAAATTTCACTTTCGAAACAAAAAATCGATCTAATTTTTTCGCGCAATTTCAACTTTCATAATCAAAACCCTCAAGTCAGTTGCTATCCTCGCTGATGCCAGACGTTCTGGTTCACGTGACGCTCGTGTTGCCCCAGTTCGCCTTCTCCAGAGCCTCTCAGTGTGCCTCATGAGAGGAAACGCCACTATGATTGTCAGCCGGGCCATCTAGTCTTGTGCAGTTTATTACGTTTTTTGCATTCCCAATTCTGGTGCTCCTTTGTTCCTTTGCTGTTAGCGCAAATTAGATTTGAGAAATGAAAAAAAAAAAAACATGAAGACAACTTTCATAATTGGAGAGTAATTTTTGCCCATCTAGCAAATTAGTGAATTGAAGTGTATATACACTTGAATGCATTTCTTTCGTTATTAGAGAACTTAAAGTATTTTTCTGAAAAAAAATCATCACGACTTATAAGAGTCTTAACTACGTTCCCCGACTCTTAATAATGCAGAAAACTGAAATAAGGGAAGAAAGGGCAAGTTAAACCTGAAGAAAACATCTGCGATGTTCTGGAACCAAATCACCGACCTGGGCATTAAGAGTATCACGTCATGGTCGCTTGAAAGTATACAAATACGGATCACCAATAACCCGCTAGAACGCATGCGATTAAATTGCCAATGGTTTGCAACAAAAAAGCAGCCATATTAGCATTTTTCTCTGCAAGTTGGATTAGAAGAAAAAAAATAGTTATTTGTAATTTAACGCTACGCTCGCTAGCTCGCATGTGTAAACAATCAAGTCTTGTACAAAATTCAAACGTGAATTTGCAAAGTTTTCTATTTTGGAATAACAGAAGACCTACTAAAATTACTAATCTGCCAACTTATGGATGGTCTTTCGCATCAAATTGATACCTATTTCTAAAACTCATTTCTTGAACTTGTACAGTAACTGACTGTTGCATATTGTATTTGCAGCGCAACATAAATTGTTATTGAAGTAATTAGTTTTATTGAAAAACAATAATATTGAATATTAAAAATTAATTTTTAGCTTTTAAAAATGGACACCAAATACTTGTTTCTATTAAAGTTAGCCTGGTATTATGCCATTGAAGGTAATATTAAACAGAATTTTCACATCAGTAAATTTCTTGCGTGGAAATAATTTCAAGCAATGATCAATTTGCATAACAGAATTTAAACTTACCGATTCAAATGGATCCCAAATTTCTTCAGTGAGACGACTGGCGAATTCTTTCTCGTTCTCTTTTTTCAACCTCGTGACATGTTTTTTTAGGTTAAACTCAGCAGGATAGCTTCTATTTTGTACGTAGTCGTCATCGTCATCGTCTGAGTCCTGAAAAAAAATTGACTTCGGCAAGAATTCAGAGAAAAACTCAATGAGAAAAAAAAGAGAAGTTACAGCATACCGTGCCCTTTCAACCCTAAAACACAAATGAAAGCTAGTTTTTTTTCAGAAATTACTGCATTACCTTACCCTTTTAAATTATAAAACCGCTCTAAACCTAGTTCATTTATCAATACTTTTCATGATCAAAAATACTCACCATTGTAAAGACGGTTCTTATTGTGCACTCTTATTGTTACTTTCGAAGTCGAATAATTTATGGTCTTCACTCTTAGTTTTTTTGTGATGTCAATTTGAATGACATAACAGCAATTACACGTCAATACTTAGCTCATTCAATCGCATATAATAATGAAAAAAAATTGCTGTTAATTTTACCGAATCTTCTTTGGAGCGCTGACGAGCATTGTTGGATGCAGACGGAAAATGAAAAGCTCTTGATTGCTTTCCTGTGTCATACAAGTTTTTGAATTCACTGAAATGCAGAAAAATGGTAATAATGTCAGTTTCCAGCCTTTATTATTCCAAATTTACAAACTTTCTGACCTTCGCCTACCTAGTTAGTTGAAAAAGTGATTCTGCCATTTCCAGGGCACATTTTTGTCTATATACGAAGATTTACTTGTAGTCAAACTGCTGACAGTTTATCTGAAAATTGCTAGAAAAAAATAAAATTGGGATAATCAATTTACTCTTTATGTTCTGCTAAAAATTGCACATTCTGACTCAAAACTTGAGTAATTTGACTTAGAAACTTTAGACTTAGAAATTTTTGTAATGATATGGTAATAGTTATCTAAAAACTCCTTATATTATCAAGTTTAATTCGATTGTTCATCAAGAGTTTAACTTGTATACGCAGAAATAGCATCACTGGCTTTGGTTAGACTGTCTATGACATCTTGCAATTCTTCTTTGGACAATTCCAGTGTTTTTTGTTTGCATGATTCTGAGCCCCCTTGAGTCATATTAAACTGAAGGGATACTAGGGGCTCATTGACAGTCGAAACTGAATCACTAGACATTGCCATTTTAACTTCCCAATTAAAGTATTTCAACTAATTTCGGGAACTCATAGCTTCCTAGAATAGACTATCAGTTTTTGTTTTTTCTTTTAAAAAACATCGAAATCGCGAGATCAAAATATATCATGATAAAAGAGGCTACGTAATCAGCACTTCAACGCATGGTCCATTTAAAAGCAATTTTCTGATTAACAGGTAATGAAAAATAGGCACTTCCGACATGCGACGGTCCGTGAACAACCTGGATAGGTCTATCCAAGGATACTAGCAAAGGATAATTGTTGTTGTTGTTGTTGTTGTTGTTGTTGTTGTTGTTGTTGTTGTTGTTGTTGTTGTTGTGGCTTTCCAGTAGAATACTGGTGGGAATTTCTTCCAAAGAGTTTATAATATTGTCCAGATATTTTTGCACGTTGTGCAGTCGCAGCATATCTGCCAAGAGCAGAGGTTGAGGGTACTGTATTTTTCACTGTAGAATTTCCACATAAGAGTTGTGATGCGCTGTTTGAGTCCCTGTTCTATCCTGAAAATGACTAAATGATCAATTCTATTTGCAACTCTGGTTGTACGAAAAACTAATTCTCCCCTGCGTTATTCTGTTCGAGTTTTGGGTAATTTGAAGGGCTCTAATCGTCGGTCTAGGGTATTGTTAGCTGTGGGAAGTGGGATGCTGTGGTGATCGTAGTCAGTGCAGAGTTATGAAAGCAAAAGTAAGTCATTGGTCTGTAGGAACATTGGCAGAGGTAAAATGTTGAGCATTCTAAGTTGTTCAGTGTATTTTTGGCAGTGTTTTCCACTTTACTACTTTCTTTTGAAAAAATTCAAGTTTTTGTAGGTCTTTTCTCAGAAAGTTCGCACAGTGACAGCCGTAGGTTAACACTGGTAGTATCATTGATTTGTAGAGACCTAGTTTTACAAAGGTGTTGACGTTATATGCTAAATTTCGTCTTAGACTGTATAGTAATTTGTTTGCTTTCTTTAATCGTTCGGTTAGATGAGTGCTCCAACTAAGATCTCCTAACATGTGAATACCCAGATCTTTTATTGATTTTAGCTGAGTTACACGATTTTTGATCAAAAATAGATTTAAATCAACACCTCTGAAGTTTATTCGAGCGCATTTTTCGAATGCCATTTCCATTTTGTTTTGTCTAACCCAATCTTCGATTTTTTTTAAGTCAAGTTGTATTTCTTCTTGTTTGCGTCCAACAGAAAAATTTTTTAGATCGTCAGCAAGTATTGAGGGGTCACTGAAGTTTAGGACTTCAGGGAGATCATTTATAAAAACACAGAACAGGAGTGGGCCCAGGAGTGAACCTTGGGGTACCCCGCTGGTTATTTCGAGGACGGTGGATGTGTTGAAATCAACCCGAACAAATTGCCTTCGGTTTCTGAGATAGTCGTAGATGATTTCGAATAGGCATCCACCTACACCAATATCACTCAATTTTCGGAGTAATAATTTGTGGGGGATTTTATCGAAGGCCTTGGAGAAATCAGCATAAAAAGCAATGATCTCATTATGGGGATTTTCATCCAGGGCTTTGTAGATTCGATTTAGGAATTGGAGCATGATGCTCATAACGGAGCGTTTCTTTACAAAACCGTGTTGGTTTATAGAAAGATGGTCTTAAAAGTGCTCGTAGAGTGGAGAGTACATGCAGTTTTCAAAGATTTTGCTGTCAATGTTTAGAAGGGAGATTGGGTGATAGTTTTCAACATCTTTTGGGTCGTTCTTTTTGTGAATGGGTGTTACAGCCGCTGTGTTCCAACTCGTTGGCATTTTGCGTATGCGTTTAATATTCTTGAAAAGCTTAATGAGTATGTTACTCATTTGTTTGCCGCATCATTGGTAAAAACCGGGAGGTAGATCATTTGGTCCGCGAGTTTTTGTAGTGTCTATATTTGCCAGAATATTACTTATTGTTTTGTTTGAAACGCTTAAGTTTGTTAGGGTTGGTGAATCGCACTTTATGTCAAGGAAGTTGTAGTTCTCTTTGGGAAAATACTGAGTGAAAAAATGTGTTAAACATTTCTACCTTTTCTTCTGGAATTGATGTCATTTTGTCTTTGAACTTGATCGTTTTCGGGATGTTCGAAGCTCTATTGATATGCTTAAGGTGCTTGTAAATATGACCACAATTTCTTAAAACAAAAGTTTTTTCTTGGTATGAGATTCGATCATGTTCACATAATTCAGTGACTTGGCTTTTTAGTTTGAGGACCTTATTTTTTCGGTAGCTAGCTGGTCGTTTTTCGAGTAACCTCTTTTGCGTGTTGAGAATTTTCATCTGATGTGATGTACTCGGTGTAATCCAAGGTGGTAGCGATTGACGATATTTGGTTCTTTTTGGGATGTGAGTGTCTATCAAGTCGGTTAAGTAGTCCTGAATTTCGCTGTACATTGGTGTAGCATTGGGGGTTGAAGGGCCGATCTTTCATGGCACCAACAATCCGGTCATAATCTCCTGACACAAAACTGTAGAAAATTGTCATTGCTGGCGGAGGATCGAAATGTTCAAGTTCTATTGCTGTTCTGATTGTAATATGGTCAGAGCAGTCATAGATTTTATCAAAATTTTCATCGTGTTCAGAGTATACTTGACAGTTTTGATACAGAAAAACGTCCATCGTGTTTGTGCCGCAGGTCGGAAAGTTGATGATCTGTTGAAGAAGCCTATCTTCTAACATTTCTAGGATTTCTTGTTCATCGTTTTCTTGACTGCTGAAGATGTCCCATTTTGTAGATGGAAAATAATGTCTCCACATATGACTGCTTTACTCTTTTTAGGGATGGCTTCGAGAATTTTGTTGAAACATTGGTAGTCATATCTGTATTGACTGGCTCTATGGGGGTTGTAAAAGGGGCATATATAGATAGTTTCGTTTGTTAGCGTTATGTTACATAGGACACAACAATCGACGTGGGAATTATTTTTTGGGAATTTAGTGAGTTCTTAATGGCAATCAGGGCACCTCCGTGAGTGTTAGACGACTGATGTGCTCTATCTGCTCGATAAATGTTGTATTCTGCAAGTAGTTGTTCAGAGTTTGAGATATTTTTGTTTAACCAGGTCTCACAAAAACAAATAACGCTGTACAAACCAATTTTTATTGCATTTGCCACTTTGAATCTTCTTTCATAGTTAACTAAACTGCGTGCATTAAATTGTAAAATGTGGAGATGATCTAGTCAAACGTTGGATGTTGCATTTTCTGGTTATGGCTGGGAAGTTTGATTTAATTGAACTTTTGCTCCATCATGGAAAAGCTCAAGGTTTCTTATTTTCAGTTTTTCACGTGGTACGCCTTCTTCAAGCATTTCCCTACGTCGTTTCAGGCAGAGGTTTTCTTTGATAGAATCTTCTTTACATAGGGCACGTGACAGAAATATATTCATTTCTTTCATTTCGTCTCTTTTTTCAGTACTTTTTGCAATCATTAGATTGATTGCTGCTGGATTTTCAAGCGTAATTAGAAGTGTTCTAGGCTTTTTCTTTTCTTTGTTGAATGTTCCAAGTCTTTTAAACCGGACTATTTTTGGTTTAACTCCAATGGTTTCCAAAATTTCCTCTAGTTTTTCGTGAGTTTGGACAAGATTCAAGTCACGTGGTTTATCAGGATCTTCATGGATCCCTTGCACTCTTACATTGTGTTCGATGCTGTGAGTGGTTGTGTTGTTGTTGTTTTTGGAGTTTTGAGGACTATTCACGTTTTTTGTAGCTTTCAACTTCCTTCACGACGTTTGCGTAACTCTCGTCTACTTTATCGTGTGTTTTCCTTATTGCTTCGTTTATTTTCTTTTCGACAATTTGAGCAATTTGCGTTTCGAGTGTCTCAGCATTGCTAGACATGTTTTTGTTGATTTTTTCTTCCAGTTTGTTGACAGTGCTGTTCCGAATGAAGTTGTCGCGTTCGCTGTTTTCAATGCAGACGTTACAGAGTAACATTGCGTTTCGACCAAGCTCCTTTTTTCCGTTGATGGCTACGTTTAATAATCCTGTGCATGTTGGTTCTAGATGCATGTGACAACCGCACGCTACACAGTTGTAACTTTTTTCGGCTTTCGGTATGGACCTTGTGCAAGTTCGGCATGTGCGACTCATCGTTGAAGAGTTAACAGTTAACAGAGGGGGACTTTACAGAGGGATCTGTAATTCCCGAGAAGAGACGCCTGCAGTACGATGCGTTCAGAGAAATATGCAAACCTGTTGATCCCGAAAAGGGGGCGCCTGCGGTTTAATATTTCTAGAACGTTCGATGGGGTCAGAGAAATAAACAAACAAACCTGTGGATCCCGAAAAGGGGACGCCTGCGGTTTGATATTTCTAGAAAGGACAGGGGGAAGTACAGCTCACAAACCTGCAGCTTACACTCAGTAAGGGCAGCGGCAGTGTCGGAAGGTGCACTCGTACTGTGTGAGATGACCTTCGTCGTTGAAAGCGTCAGAGTATTTCTTGTACAGTATCTTGTTCTTTATGATGCTTTTGATGCCTTTGAAACCTTCTGGGCTTAAGTGAATTTCGTCACTGCCTAGATGGTAAGTACTGTAAATCTTCTCACACACGCTTTTTCTGTATTTAATTCCAAGTGTCGCGCCTGCGAATCTGCTATCAGAAGGT